AGACAATCGTCAGGGATAACCAAGGTATCTCTTCTCTCCCTGCAGAGTCCCACTGCTCTGGTCCTCTCCGACAGTCCCGCCTCCGTCCCCTCCAAGACAGTGAGCACGGAGAGACGGCGGATTTCACGGCAATTTCTCTCCTGTCATCTCTGCGCCTCGCTCCATCCCGGCCCAGGCCGGCCTCCGGCGAGTCTACCACTTTATTTGTCACTGCCCTTTGAAGCAGGTAAATGTGGAATCTAAAAGAGCTTCTGGGGAGAAAAGCAGAATTTCTGGAGAAAAGCCTTGAAATTCTCTCCAACAGTCCATTTTTTAACCACCTGATGGTGTGACTGTTGTTTGAAACAGCGAGTTCTAGAAGGGAAGCCATCCTTCAAAGCTGCTGAGGTGGACTTCCGTCCTCGGGATGCACGCAGGCTAAGGGAAGGGACTCCGGGCAGAGCACTCATGGACCCCGAGCTGCTTCTCTTCAGGTAATCCTCCTTTTACAGAACAGACACTCTTGCAGGTAAACCCTTCTGGGTTCGCAGCCATTTAATCAAGGGCTGAGGAAAGCTACTAACTCCTTTATTAACTGAAAAATAATTGTGGGCCTAATGAGTCACTCAGCACCAAAATGCGCTAAATTTATCAACACTGTTTGAGTTTTTGAAAATGATGAACCATATCCCTCTCGTCCCGTGTCTAGCATGATCCAAATGACAGCCCATCCATCAGCTCATCCGTTGTTTAACGATGGCGTCTCACATTTGTTATTTCCTCCTTGAATCAATCTTTCAAGCAGAGGAATAACTTAATTCTGTCTCGACAGCAGAGAAATGAAAGGCAGGAATATTTCTCTGGCAAAATCCCACCAGCAGACCCACAAAATCAGAGCAACGCCAACGCCCACAGGGAGCGGTGTGGCCGTCGAGGGCGCTGCCCGTCCGCTGCTCGCCTGGAGCCTCAGCCCACGGGTGACACCCCAGCTCCAGCAAGATGCTGACTTCACAGGAGAGCCAGGAAACTCACACATAAGGAAGAATCAAAGAGTCACAAATTAACACCTTTCCTCATTACGGACCTCAGACTCGGCATTTTCTATTTGGTGCGAACGTGTTTAATTTCCTCTTTTCATGCTTACAATGACACATTCCCTAATGGCTGCAATCTCCAGTGCGAAGCCGCCACCCCGTGGGGCAAGCGTGCGGTCCCTCCCTTAAGACACGCCTGTCCCACACCCAAGCCTGAGCTCGGCTTCCCGCTAATGCAGATGGTGGGTGGCGGTGGGTGGCAGGCATGATGGCTCAGCGGCTGGGTGCAGACGCCGCCCGGGGCGACCCAGACTAAGTTCCTGGCCCCCAGCTTGGGACGGGCACAGCCCCCATCGCAGAAGCACTTGAAGAGAAAGCCAGTAGATAGGAGACTCTCCCAGGCACATTAGCAGAAAGCTGGATCCGAAGTGGAGCAGCCAGAACATAAACTGGTACGGCACTACAGGTGCTGGCCTTACCCACTTCCCCACAGCAGCAGCTCCTGGACTCAGGCATTCTAACTGGCATCTTACTGGTAAGCCACATGCTCACCCCTCTACATTTTTAAATAGGCTTAAAACCGTTCATGAGTTTCAAAAAGAAGAAAATATTAGTTCACTTGGAAAGGAGAGCAGATTCGGCCACACACAACACGCTCCACCTAGCTGACTCCAGCTCTGCTCTGCTTCCTTTTCTTTAAGATTTGTTTTATTTTTATTGGAAAGTCAGATATACAGAGAGGAGGAGAGACAGAGAGGAAGATCTTCTGTCCACTGATCCACTCCCCAAGCGGCCACATCAGCTAGAGCTGAGCTGATCCAAAGCCAGGAGCCAGGAGCCTCTTCCGGGTCTCCCACGCAGGTGCAGGGTCCCAAGGCTTTGGGCTGTCTTCAACTGCTTTTCAGGCCACAAGCAGGGAGCTGGCTACAGCCAGGCACGTTCTGAGACAACGCCGTGGCCTGCACTCTCCTCGCTTCCAGCCAGGCCCAGGCTCGGGAGAGCATCAGCTGCCAGCTCCCTGGTCAAATGGACTTGCCACTCACAAGTGTTTTTGTGTCTGCTTCTAGGCCAGATGAACCATGAAATCTGTTTGGCAAACCAAAAGCAGACGGGGCTGGAAAATCTGCTATGGGAACAAAGGTCCGAGAAAAGTTCGTGCCAAGATGCGCACGCCGGGCACGGTACCAAGCATCACACCCACAAACTCTGCCAAAGTTCATAGAAAACGAGATGAAAAGGTAAGCTTGTTGTTATGCAAAAAAAAAAAAAAAAAAAAAAAAAAAACCTGAAATCCAGGCACAGGTTTCCCATGATATGTCATTTCCATTAACATTTTCAAAACACCTTGCTTGCATGGATAGCAAAACACTTTGCACCCAAACTAATTTATCCAGCAATTCCACTTCTCCCTGAGAGCTTTCTGAACTCTTCCTATAGCAAACGCTGGTCAGCTGTGCCCTGGTCTGTCCAGCAAGGCTGGAGCTGGAGCTGGCCAGTGCGTGTGCATCTGATGTGTGCGCTGATGTGTGCACACTACTCAGTGAATCCTAAGCTACCGCAGAATGCCCGGCTGGCACAGGCAAATCCCATCCACCACTGGCCCCATTCCAGAACAGGACCAGCAGCCAGCCAGGGCCACCACAGCCACGTACTAACTGGGAAAGGCTCATGGAATTCCTCTGGGAACAGGCTACAGGATCACAGAAAACTGCCCCCGGCATCATGGCGGCATTCCACTCACTCTGTCTCAGCTCTTCCAATCATTGCAGGGGCAGGCAGAAGCCAAGAGTCGGGTGGCACACTGGCCTCTGCTGCCTCCACATGGGGCAGGTGCCACTGTGAGGCGCCACCCCTCCTCCTGCACTTGAATGAGACTCCTTCAGGTCAGCGGAAGGGCCAGCTCGTGTTTTGCCATCCTGTGACATGACACCCGGCACAGAAGCTTCCTGAGATGAACACAGCTTTTTGCCCACTGACCTGTAGTTAAACTTCACAAAAAGAAATGGGTTTGTCAAGTTCATTAAGATGGTGAGCCCTTCTGCCGTGGCATTTTCCACATTAGGAGGCAAGAAGCCCAGCTCTGGGTCTTCAGCCACAGCAGCTGCCACCATTTGAGTCAGCTCGGGTGCCCTAAAACTCACCCTGGAGCACAACTCCCCTTGGGAGGCACCTAAGGGCTGGACCCCAGTGTTCCCAGGGCTCTTGGGAGGTGCTGAAGATTAGATATCACCGGGGTACCTCGAAAAGTTCGTGAAAAGGGGACCTCAAAGTTCAGTTTAGGAGTGGCTACAGTGGCACAGCAAGCTAAGCACCCACTTGAGACGCCCACATCCGGAGGCAGGGTGCCAGGTTGGAGTGCTCCAACCCACCTCCCTGCCAATATGCCTGAAAGACGCAGGCAAGGGCCCCAGGTGCTGAGGCCCCTGCTCCCTGGGCCAGCCCAGATTCTTACAGGATTTGTGCTACTGAACCAGCAGACGGACAATCCCTTCTTTTCGCTCCATCTCTTCCCTTCCCTTCTCTCCTTCCCATGCTCTTCCTTCTCTCACTCTGCCCTCCAAATCAATAATTTTTAAAGATATAAATGTGGGAACGGTGCGGTAGCCTAGTAGCTAAAATCCTCACCATGCACATGCCAGGATCCATATGGGCACCGGTTCATGTCCCAACAGCCCCACTTCCCATCCAGCTCCCTGCTTGTGGCCTGGGAAAGCAGTGCAGGATGGCCCAAAGCCTTGGGACCCTGCACCCGCATGGGAGACCTAGAAGCTCCTGGCTCCTGGCTTTGGATCAGCTCAGCTCTAGCTGTTGTGTCTGCTTGGGAAGGGAATCAATGGAATGAAGGTCTTCCTCTCTGTCTCTTCTCCTCTCTGTATATCTGACTTTCCAATGGGAATAAATCTTTTTTAAAAATGTAAATTTATTTTGTTGAGGACTGCAAAAGTTCATGAAAAACACACGTTAATGAAACATTGCAGCGTGTCATGAAATAACCTCTGTGATTTCAATGCACTCTAGCCTCAAATCACCTCCCCACGTGCACTGTGAAGCACCCTTGTCCCTGCAGCTTCCTCCCACAGGGGAGAGACCCCTGCTTCCAGAGCACTGGGGCCCCGAGCTGCCTGGAGCTGGCCAGAGGGGCAGCCCCGGGTGCCACCACTCCAGAACTGGAAGCTATAGCTAGCCTGTTTATTTCCGCTCACTTGGGCCATATGGCATGTCAGGAATAACAGGAAACAGACTGAGTTGGGGTGCGCGCAGAGCCAGGCTTCGGCAGCCAGGGAGCCCATCTCCCGCCCGAAGGCTGTCTCAGGAACCCATTTCCATGAGGGCCTCACAGCTCTGCTCTGCCCAGGCTCCTGGGCTCCCAGGGATACGCTGATCACACAACGATGTGACAGCCAGACAGAAAAGACCACAGGACCAGCCCCCCACCTCCTGCCACGGGGCTGACCACGCGTAGGGCGGGGACTGCTCGGAACGTCTGGTCCATGCCTGACTCAGGCAGCAGCAGACAGGGAAATGACCATGGCCCCGGGGCCACCTGGCCTCTCCCTGGAGTGACCAAGTCCACTTGGGGTGGCCCCAAGCCAGCGCCTGAACCAGTAACACCACCTGGCCCAATCAGACTAGAAGCCACACACCAGTCCCAGGTGGAACATTAGCATGAAGGGACAGCGACCCCATAGCCTTGTCACCCTGTTTCCTCATTTAGAAAAACAGAAAGGACGTTGCCCTCGTGTGCTCGAGCATTCCTGTCTACCGCTTCATTCTACCGCTACGCTCTGCTAGAAACAGTACAACAGCAGCAGTCACTTACAGCACAGGGCGTCATCCCTGTGGGGTGACCGAGGAAAACAGACCACACGGCTCCTCCCGCACAGGCACCGGGCCAGGCACCCACGGTCCGGGGAGGTGGCAGTACACGAGGGCCCACGTGGTGGCACCCACAGCACCCACGGCCACCACCGAGGCAGCCAGGCCTACCTGTTGTGCACATCCCGGGGGCGGCCCACGCAGGTCAGGCTGGCCGTGGTCTGAGCGCCATCCTGCTCGATTTGCTCCTGGACAGTCCACTGGTCGTCCTCACCGACCCTCACGGCAGTTATCTTCACGCCCACCGCCGCCTTGATTCTGGGGATGGAGAGCAGCACTGTGAGATGTCGCGCTCTGGGTCACATGGGCATCCGAGCAAGCCCTCAGGGAAGGCCTCTGCGAGCCACAGGGATAAGGGTCAGGGCTTGGCTTCAGGCTGCACTGCCTTCCGTCCAGTCCCTGCCTGCAATGATCCTTGCACTGCCACCGCCCAGGACCCATCTCCTGTGGGACAGCCATGGCTCCACGGGCAGCACCCACATTCCCCAGAGTAGCCTCGACCGCACCCGTATACTGTGGACACATCTCCAGAACCTGCAGGAGGAAGGCTGGCCATGAGGGCCATTGTGCCTTAACTGAGTGCAAGTACCAAGTCTGAGTACTAAACACTAAATGTAAGTACTGAACACTGCAGTAGGAACCCTGGCCATGGATGGTGCACTGTTCCCTGTGCCTTAACCAACACAAGTACCGAGTGACGTCCTAAAGATAACTAATAAACACAAACCCTATATGGAAGTACTGAATATGAGTATAAGTACTAAATATAAACTGAGTGGAAGTATCCCCCCACGGCAAGCTTGGGCTTAAGGGACGTGGTCAGTGATGACTCGCTGTGAGCAAGGCCCCACGGCCTCAGGTGCCTTTCCTGGGGAATAGGAAAAGTGTGTAAGAGGAGAAGCCGCCACGTGGCGCAGACAGGCAGGCGGGGACCAGTGAGCGCAGTTCCCTGGGCGGACAGGGCGGCACCCTGGCCGGGGCCCTCTGGGCGGAGGCTGCAGCAATGGGAGGGGTGCTTAGCTGGCAGGAGCTGGGTTCTCGATGAGTGGTAAGAACGTCTGATGCCAGAGGAGGAGCTTGCACAATCTCATGAGAGTGCAAATGTCACGGGCTGCTCCACGTCAGGCCCAGACCCCTGTAATGTGCTGGGATAACAGCAGAGGACGGCCCAAGTCCTTGGGCACCTGCTCCCACGTGGAAGGCCCAGAAGAAGCTCCTGGCTTAAAATTGGCTCAACTCCAGCCATTGCAGCCATTTGGGGAGTGAACCAGCAGATGGAAGAGCTTTCTTTCTGTAACTCTTTCAAACAAATAAATAAGTACATCCTTTAAAATAAAATAAATGCTATTGAAATGTTTACCTTGACACGGTAAAGTTTATGTTATGTGACTTTTACTTCAATTTTTAAAAAGACAGAATATGGGCCCGGCGCGATGGCGCAGTGGTTAAGGTCCTCGCCTTGCACGCCTGGGATCCCATATGGGCACCGGTTCTAATCCCAGCAGCCCCGCTTCCCATCCAGCTCCCTGCCTGTGGCCTGGGAGAGCAGTCAAGGACGGCCCAAAGCTTTGGGACCCTGCACCCGCGTGGGAGACCCGGAAGAGGCTCCTGGCTTCAGATCGGCATAGCATCAACCGTTGTGCTCACTTGGGGAGTGAATCATCGGACGGAAGATCTTCCTCTCTGTCTCTCCTCTCTGTATATCCGCCTTTCCAATAAAAATAAAAATAAATCTTAAAAGAAAAAAGACAGAATAGACAATTTTTAAATAGACAGTAATGGCATCTCCCAAGAGAGGCTGACACTTTGGGAACTAATGTACCAAATAGAAAGGCCTAACCCGAGGCAGGCTGGACGCCTGCTGCACCTTACGTGGCTGCATCCCAAGCCTCGGACAGAGGCTGCCCGCCTGCGCAAGGAGCCCAGAAGGGAGGGAGGGGACGCATACACTACAACACAACTACCAAGAGGTCATCACAACCACCACGTCGCCTCCAAGTCACCCCTCAGGAGGCGTTTTCCCCAGGCTCCAGCCATCAGCATCTCCCAAGAAGTCACCCAGGATGCAAGGACCAAGAAGTCCCCGGGGACGCTGGCCACCGCTCCTTGCCCAGACCTGACCGTCCCTCCCACAGAACCCTGTGACTGCATGTGCCACTCCACAAGGCTGCCACATCCCAGGGATTGAACTATGCAAGCCAGGAATAGAGGTACCCTGACCCACCCCTGCACGCATCCCCAAAGGGGCTGCAGGAGAGAATGTTCCAGGGCCCGCATCTGAAACAGGCAGAGTGCCTACACAGAAGGTGTGCCACCCCACTCCCATCAGGCCTCACAGTTGCCACAAGAGCCTCTCCCACACCCACAGCAGCTCCCAGAGCCCACGCTCAGCAGCCCACAACCAAAACAGTGACCCTGCCCTGCCTCAGCCCCCAGAGGGGGCACCAGCTGCCCATCATGGAGCTGGATCCTGTTCTGGGCACCTCCTCGCTCAGGAGAGCTTCTTCTGATCTCTCTCGATCACAGCCTGTGACTGAGCCCTGGGCTGCTGAATTCTGTCTCCTCTTAGCACATCACCAAGCTGTGTGCTCCTCAGTGCAAAGGGGTCTCAGGAAAACCCCAGCATGCAGGAGGAGGCAGGGGTGATGGGCCACCCTGCCAACCTGACACCTGGCTGGGCTGCCAACCTGACGCCTGGTTGGGCATGGGGTTCTGGGAAAGGACAAGGGCCCACCATTTTCAGCCAGTGTGAGTGGCACTGCCCTGGGACATGAGCCGGTGCTCTCCTGTCCAGCCACTGCAGCACGAGGTGGGACAGCACAGCTGCGCATGCGCGTGGCTCCTGGGGCCCCAGGCCACCGCTGTCAGGGCACCAAGACCAGGGTGAGTGGGGCAGAAAGAGGCTCCATCTGTTGGGGGAACAGAGCCAAGGTGGCTTAAGAAGAGATGAGAGAGACCAATTACAGCCTTGCTTGTATGGGGAACGCCGTGGAATCCATGGCTCAGTTGCTTCCCTGGGATAGCTAGGCACACCCCAAAGGCAGGCAAGGAGGTGAGGGATGGGGGTAGCAGGACCCTACACCACAGACCTGCCATGAGGTGAGTGGGCGACAGCCGTGACAGCCTGCATGGCTATCATCACAAAGACCAGCGGCACCTTGGACAGACAGAGCCATGTGCCCCCTAGCTAAGAGTCTAATGATCAGAGGCCACTGCCCCAAGGCACACAGACCCCTCTCAGGGGCCCGCTGGAGGTCCTGCCTGCCTGCCCAGGTGCACACTCCCGACCCCACTCCCATGCCCGCCAGAGTTCATCCCACACCTCCATCTGTCACTGGCAAATCCATTACCTGCCTAAGGCTGCTCTAGGATACACCCAGCCCTCAGCTCTCTGCCCCAAAGACATCAAGGCAATCCATTCATTCTCCCAATTTTTTGAGTGATTTGGCTCCTGTCTGCTAATATGTCCAGAGGGTCAGCCCAGCTGGCCTCAGGTTCAGCTCACACCACGTCCCAGGGCCCACCAGCGCTCACAGATGGCCACCAAGCTCTCATAGTCAGAGTGGCTGCCACCACTCCAGATTTCACACCTTCATCCACACTCGGAAAGCAGGATCTCCCTCCAAGAACAAAACTCTTGAAGTCAGATTTTCATTGCTTGCCTTCTATTGAACATTCAGCCTTGGACCAATAACTGTGACCTTGAGGGTGGAGGGACAGTGTCTGTCGGCTTGGCTGGTCATGACCACCCCTGCATTCAGGGTAAAGCTGTCTCCATCACGGTCACATGGGAAGGTGCCCAGAAGGAAATCCCAGTTACAGCAGACAGGATGGACGCTGTGGATGGAAGGCACAAGGCTAGGCCCACGGTTGACATTTCCTTCTTCTTTGATTTTTCATTTTCTTTTTAATGTCGTCTATACAAGTTCTCACCCCGTGGCCTCTGATTAGGGTGGGGACAGTCACGGATGGAGGAAATGGGTGGGACACAGGTTTCGTTCTTCCCCCCCCTCCTGTGTCTGTACGGAAGGAGGGGGAGATGGCTACTCCTTGCTGTCAAACTACATCAGGGAATGGGGGACGATCCTTTGATGAAACCTTAGAGGCCAAGATATGGAGAATAGTGTTTTTAGGGTGTTACCTGAGTGGTTTTGCTAGTTCTGAGACATTGTTGGTTTCTTTGCTCCAGGGTTGATCAAATCTTTCCAAGGTCTGCTTGTTGACAAAGTCCTCCTTAGCGCATCCACAGATCCAGGAACATGCTGCAAAGCTTGGCCAGGAGAGTGGTCCAACTGTTCTGCTGTGTATTGTCTGACGAGGCAGTGGGCATCCCCTGCTGACCCAGATGAGCTGGCTGTCATGTCCACCGTGTGCATCACGGCATGCTGTCCACTGCACAGGCCTCGGCAACTGAGAAGGTCCAATCCCAATAACTGTGACTCTAAGGTCATGTCTATGATTTTTCCCTGTGGCCAGAGTTCAAGCCCAGCAGTACAGTTGAGGAGTTCTCTAAAACAAACCTCATCTGGGGTGACTTCAGACTTGCTTCCTGTGTGTACCAGCCAGCGCAGACTCAGGTTTGATCTGTCAGCTGCTTGGTCAGCTCCGCCCCAGCCCCATCTCTCATGCAAACCAACAACTCCTGGGTCCTTGTCCAGCCAGCCTGCCACAGACCTGGCCTTCAGTGGGTGCTGAGGCTTAGCTAAGGTAACCCCCAATTACCCTCACCAGGCCTGCTCCCAGCCCTATGGGAGCAGGTAACATGTGCCAGCCTATGCTACAACACAGCCCAGCCCTGCCCAAATCTCATCCAGCTCTCACGCACATCCATTGGTGCTGGTGCTTAGCTCAGCCTGACCTGCCCCCAGACCCGGCCCTCACATATGCCAACAGGTGCTGCTGCCTTGTCCAGGCTGGCCTACCCCCAGTTTTGGTTCTCATTGCTCACCAGTGGTAGGTACAGCCTAGCAGGGGAGTGCCCACAGCTCCCCTGCCAGATTCACTCCAGCCTCAGATCTTGCACCTGCCAAGGAGGACTGTGGTCAAGCCTGACATGACTCACACCCAGTCCTGGAACTTGCCAGCTACTGCTACAGCCTAGCCAGCCTGACCCACACCCATTCTGGCTCTTGTGAGTGTCATAGAGTATGGCAGCCTAGCCCAGCCTGACCTAGCCCCAGTCCTAGCTCTCATACTCATCAGTGAAAACAGAAGCCCAGAGAAGGAGGCCCTGAGGTTACCCTACCAGACCCACATCA